CAGCGTTATTTGTAAGCTATCCGAATATTTTTCCCATATTTTTTTAATATAGAAGCGTATCTCATTTGCTTACATTTGTTTACTCTCATAAATAGATAAGAAAATTAGTACTACAATTTAATTTATTTTTATATTTTATTGTGCTATAATTCCCTATAATTAATAATCTTTCTTTTTGGAAACCAATTAAATTAGTTATCTCAAAACTATTAAATATGTTTGAATCAGTTCGATTTGTTTCCCCACCAGTGAGAGATAATATTAGAGATGATTCACCAATATTTGACAATGTCATCGATTAGGTGACAAATCCGTTGATTACAAGTTAAAATTCTGTTTATTACTTAGCTTTTCAGGTGGTGTGGTAATCTAACATATGGTCAAAACAACCAATTTCGAAGACAGATATAGGAATGAATGGTCAAAAGGACAAATCCAATCAATATCATAATGGATATTGTGGTCGATTAAATATCTCTAGTGCAAATCTGACCACCCTAGACGGATTGGTCCACAAGCTGTTTTGTTCTCAACAAAAATGTCAAAGCTAAGTTTGCCTTGGACTGTTTCTTTCAATTATCAACAGATTAACCGAATGATGTCACATGACAAAATCAGATTCGAACACAAGACCTAAAATTTAAAATCAAATCAGGACCATTAGTTTCAAGAGTCAAAATGGTTCGGATCGAGCTGGTTAACACACTGTAACAAATAATAACCAACCATACATGCAGATTGACCTTCAATGTCATGCATACATACTAATCTATAAACTATAGACTACAATTGCTTCATACATTTGTGAAAGAAACATTAAACGAGACGAAAAGGTTTTATCTTCGATAACCTATACTTGGGTCTTTACACTGAAGAGAAACAAAGAAACCCAAAACAGTGAAAGCTACATGATCATGATGATGAAACACTATTTAACAATCAAACACAAGACCAACCACTGATCAAATGAAGTTGTTAGGTTCATACCCTCCTTACAGCACAATGTAAAATATATAAAAAGAGTAACATCACTCGATAATAAACATAATAGATCATTCACGAGAAATTTTTGGTTGTACTTTTTAATCGACACGACTTCTGTAAACATCAAGATCCATCTCGGTTGGATCAGTTGACTGAAGCTCAACTTGAATTCCGTCTAGTTCCCTCTTGAACCTGTCCTTAGAGCTCGCGTAGATCATCTTGCTTCTTACCTTAGCTATGGCTGGGCACCTTG